AGAAAAATTTGAGTGTAATGTAATATTTTTTTTAATACGAATTTTAAAATCAATTTTTTATGAAAATCGTAAATATTACCGCCTTATTGGATGTTAATCGAACTCCGCTTAAAACCGTTTTTCGTCAGAAATGATTAACCTTTACATAAAAAAATACTTTAAATTTCCCTCTATATCCTACGTTCACAACTTCTCATCTATAGCAGTGGTCCACCCATCGTCCAAAGTATTTCTAAAATTGTTTTGTTATAATTCGGATAAATAATTGTAGAAACATATAACTTTCACATTATACTTACTTGGCTATTTTTTAGATGCGGTCAACTTTTCAAAACATTCTGGCGATATTTGAGCTATTTATAGGCGTTTTACAGTTTCTAGTTTTTTTAGTTTTTAGTTTTTTTGATAGATGCTATGTGAATAAAATTGTTGTTGACAGGAATACTTGGGAATTGAACAAGTGGCTCATTATAAGTCTTAAGGAATGTTAAAAAAAATTGAGCGTAACGTAGTTTTTTTTTTTTATATACGTGTTTTTTCATGTAACCGATCTTCGCTTAAAATCGTATTTCGTTAGCTCTAGTTTTCTTAATAATGTTGCTTGCTACTGGTATAAATTATATAATTTTACGTATCATACTTTCTTAAATTCCCAACATATCTACACATCCGTACCTATAGCTCGAGACAACGTTATAATCTAATCGCGGTCTTGTTGTCCTAAACTCAATCAATTAGTACCTATATATAGCAATCGTTGAAATTCAGTGCGTATAATTGTTGCTATATTGTGCACGAGACAGACAGACAAAACAGATATGATGGTATACGGGTCCCTAGGATTATGAAAGTATTTCAATTATTCATAATAATACGATAAACATATATTATATACTCACTACATACTGGTTTAACAAAGTGTTATTCGATAGATGCTTCAAAGCCGTATTGTACAGTAGAAGCTTCTATTATGTTTCCGAGAACATTATAATAAAAGTATTAATATTCGAAAAAAACTTAATTCAAGTTTGATTCTACGAATTCCAAGACGATCTAGCGCATAAGAAATATTATATCGTTGTCTACGATGTATAAAAAATTCCTATGTATATTCCGGTCACGGAACAAGCAAAACAAAATTGTATTATACTATCCACCTAATTAATACGAAATTTCATTTTTTACATTGCAAAATATCCCGTAATACAATATGTAATATACATGTACATTGTACTTATAATAGCTACCTCTAGTATCGAATCGAATATTGTTGTTAAAACACGTCGAACACTACACGTTTTAGTAACGTATTAAACTAACCGACTAAACCAGATGATTTAAAATAAATACAACTTTGTTTATAGTTCCGAAAAAAAAAAACTGGAAATCTTGCTTACATAGATTCTGAGCGTATTTTTTTTTTAAACCGCTGTAGTTATACGATTTGGATGGTTTAGAAAATGATGTTGACGTGTTTTTATTTGTGGAGTTTAAAATTTAAAATTAAACGTTAAATAAAAATATTAAAGTTTCCTAAAACCTAGTCCTCCATTAAAATATCCGATCTCGGAAAAAACGACGGGACACGGATTATATACGCGCGTGAAATAAACGTGACGTGACGATGGGATTCGTCGAATCGCTAACCAGTGGCAAGTGAATGTTGACCCCTGTAAAATTTAACAGGGTCCGGGTAGGTAATATATAAAGGAGGAGGTCACTGATCATAAGTAATATTTTACCCGTTCCCCAACAAATTCCTCCGGTGAAATTTTATCCAACCTCCCCTTCTATTGGTCAAATATCACGGCGGCATATGCACTAGGTTTTTAATATGTATGATGGCTGAACTTATCGATTTTAAACTTTTTGAGCTTTTAAAATTTTATAACGAAAAAGGAAAAACATACACTACCCATTTTCAATCGGCTTTATCATTCGATAATAATTTAATTTATAAGTAACAAATAAATAGTTTACTTAGTCAAGAAACTATAATCATTTATCGGCAATATCAGTGACATGATTTGGACTATTGACTAATAAGAATACAAGTTATTCTTGATAACAGGTACTAAACAGTTTTCATGGTAATTTTATATACACATAACATACCGATAGTCTATTTTATCAAACATTAATAATATTTGTATCAATATTTTTAATTTTTACTGAACAAATTCAGTGGTTTAACGTTGAGAACACAATATCCTTTGTCATAAAATCTATTTTTCGTTAATAAAACCTTGGGGGGCTGAGCCCCGGCTTAACATTGTCAATGGGAGCTGCGGCCCCGAAGCCCCCGTATACTCGGCACCTATGACAGGGCGGGTCATCACATGTAATATTGATAGATTAGTTTTAATTTGAATTGTTATACCATTATACTTGCATCTTAGGGCTTTGGCCTGTTGTACTCCTATAAGATTAAAATTGAAATATTACGCTAAATCACGGATATAATTACGGAGTATACGAGTTTATACTTGAACGTGACATTTTTATAATGCCGTTACTCAGTCCAACCACGTTGGGCAGTAGTTCGATAACAAAGTCTGTGTTGTCCTGCAAATAAATTCTGTAGTTTTTTTAAACATATATAAAGTTGAATAATTTATTTTTAACGTTATTAATATCTGCAGCTATGATAATAAATTAAAAACGTTATCTAAGATCGAGCGGTTTAATTAAAATATATTTAAGATTAAATTAATTAATTATATGTTTTGAACAAGAGATTATATCATCTCCTGCGTACGTCGCCTAAAATATTATGGATTTAAATAGTAATTATTTTTTGGTCAAAAAAAAAAATAACCGACGCAATAACCACGATTACAACTAAAATCAACAAGTTCGTAGTATATATTAAAATGATTATTAAATTTAAATGGCAAACAATTCAAAATCTAACGGTTTTTACTATGCATTTAAACGGAAACAAAAAAATAGCATAATTAATATTACTGTCATACTTTTCTCATTAGCTAGAACTGTTTTTTATATTCTGAGCTTATTTTATTTTAATTTACTCAGTATGATTCTTGTTATGTCGTTTTCAGTCTTAAAAATATGGACACATTATTTTCTTCTTAATTCAAAGGTTAGAACTATTTCATTCTAACCCCTAAGGCCACAATCAAATTATTATTGTCATAAAATGCGAATTTTCTAAATTCGGTTATTTTCACTAATCTTTCACTCAAGCGTTTCCTAACAAAAAAAAGAAAAAAAACAAAGGCTGATACTGCTGATCAGCAGTTTTATAAAAGAGAATATAAAGTGTCGCTACCGAAAAAAAAAATTCTAAACAGATTATCATTAAATTTTTAATGCTCCGACAAGATTAAAAATGGTACAAAACAATTCCTAAAAAGTTTTAAATTAGAAACGTAACACATCATATGGTAAAACTGATACATTCCTGGTTTCGCTCAGAATCTAATATATATATATATATATATTTTTAGTAGTTTTCCCATGTTTACCGCATATATACGACGCAATCAATACGCTATAATTGTGTTCGTTGTGTTTACAAGTTAAACATTTATATATTATTATGTTTCCACGTCCTTTGAATATTCATTGATATTAATTTCTACACCGAATCGTCGCCCCGAGGAAAGCCATAATTTGCTATTGATACTTTGTCGCGTCTAATGAAGGTAGAAATTAATTAAATGCGAATAAAATATACTGTCGTGTCTTTGAAATTCCATACCTTACGCTTTTGGGTGCGAGATAGCGCGCGCATAATTACGGGAAATTAATTAACGAATACACGCGTCGTCGTTTTTCGATTTTAATATTGATTTTAAATTTCATTTGATTTTCAAACGTTCGACGTATAGGTATACACAAATTATAATAATATATTGTTTAGATATTCGGAACAATCGTAATGCCAGCAAAATTCGTCTGAAATAAACGAGAAAACCGGTGAAACTTTTCAAATGACGTAATCGTAAATTGTATCGTTAAAGTTTGAGAAAAACAAAACTGAACTAGAGTTTATACCGTGTTAATAATATTGTAAAAATAAGTACACTTTTCTAAAATATATTTATTATTTACACGGTGTTGGTAGACAATTAATAGTGACAAATTGAACAGTAAGTTCGATTATTTATAATGGACTTTCGAATAGTCCCTTGCATAACAGAAACTGAAAGAACTGAAAGAAAACCCTATTTTTTTTTTTTTTTTTTTGCAAACTAAGTTTATTATAATGTATTATTGTAATTATATTGAAATTGAATATACTAAAGTATAGATACACTAGTTATCTTAATATTATAATAATAGGATTACTTAAAAACTCCGGGTTCCTGTAGAGTGACGATTTTATTGAATAACCGAAAAATATTAATCGGATTAAAAGCTCGACGGGGTGATTTCGTTCGTTATAATTATTATTTTTATTATATTAACCAACGATAACAATTAAAACGTTTTCGTATCGTTCACAGGTAATTAAATAAATTATCAAATTAAATTAATTAAATTTTGAAAATCCCTTGATAATAAACTCATCTGTATTTATACTTTAAGAAAATAAAAACCGACTGACCGACATATTATCAACGCGCAGTCTAAACCGGAGCGGCGCTAGAAACTTGACATTTTTCACAGAGTTTCCTCATTGTGTAATGTACAGGGCTCGTGACTTGTAGCATTTTCATATTTGTTTTGAAAATTCCTCGTAATACTTAAGTAAGTTACAAATTTGTTTCAGATAACCAGGAAGTCAAATACAAAAATTTTTGTTGCATATTTTTAAGTTTTTAGCGCTACTTTGATATTTTAAGCGCTATTTGATGCTTTTATCGTCATTTCAAAGAAGAAAAATGCTTTTTTTTTTGCATATTTTAACATTTTAGTGCATAAATAAGCGCTTATATGAATGCTTTTAAGATCGAATCATTGCGCTTACAACTTTTTTTAGAGCCATAATAAGTCACGAGCCCTAGTAATGTATACATAGGCGACCAATGTAACTATACAAGAACGGTTTTTCTTCCAAATTAAATGCATATTACGAACGATCTTCGTTCCGATTTCAATATCCGTCCGAAAATAAGGGTGACGAAAACCGAATGCGACGGGACGCGCCGCACGTGTCCTACGATTACCAGTGTAAAATTAATTCCGGGAAAAAAAAAATCGAATATTTTTCGCTGTAACGAGCGCGTCGGCGGCGGATCCATAGGAGGTCCGGGTGCAGGGGCGGGGGCGAAAAGAATTTTCGAAAGCGCCACACCTTTCCACCGCGGCACTACTTCCGTTCTCTCGTCCCGGATCCGCCGACCCCAACACCTACCCCTCCCGCCGGACGGACGAGCGTCTAGAGTCGCATCGATCACAGCCTGTGTGCACGGCACACGCGTCGTGTGCACGGTCGAACGGAACACGGAAAAGCGTTTATTTTCCGGACTCGCGCGGCGACGCGGAAAACGGTAAACGGTTCGAAAGCCGGCGCGTGCAGATCGGAGTGCGGCGGAGACGACGACGACGGCGATGCGCGCGTCCGATTCCGTTGTTTTCGACGCGCTCGCACTGTCCGCGAACCCGCGCCGTCAGGTCGCGCGAATCGTAATAAACACTGTCATTGTCGTCTCGGGCGGCCGCGTTATTTTCCCTGCGCTTTCTCCGCGGGCCAGCGAAACGCGTCTACCCCGGCGCACCGACCGCGCCCACGCGCGCTCGCGAGTACCCCCGTGCGATGTATTATTAAATCGCGTCAACGAACTCTCGACTCGCGTCCGCACTATTATTATTATTATTATTATTATTATTATTATTATTATTATACACACCTAGACGGGTACCGCCATCCTCGTCGCTTAATTAACCGCCGCCGCCGCCGCCATTATTACCGCGCGACTGATAATATTATTATACGTACACGCGAATATAAAGGATTCCGCCGCGGTGTTGTTATCCGCCGCGGTCGGTATATACTAGAATAATATAATATAATATATTTGATAATAATAATAATAATAATAATAATAATGATAATAATATTGTCTTTGGTTCGACGCCAAGTCTTCGCTCGGTACCCGCCTATACACCTATATGATAACACACGCGTATACTACGCGCATATATTGTTATAGGCGATACGCTTACGGGGGCGGGGCGAACCTCCGCGGCGGCGGCGACACGCGTTATTCTCGCGTTAAATCGACCAGATTTTCATTTCGCCCGTCTGTGTTTTTTTTTTGTTTTTAATAATCATAAACAAAGTTATACACTTATTATATTGTGTTCTTGCAGAACAAAAATCAAATTAATTGATTAATCTTATTATTTATTAATGAATCACTCGTTTTTATAAATGTTTATGAATTTATCATTTTAAAGAAAATCATGTACTAGTGTATATTCTTCGTCGGAACATATTTCCTTCAATAAAGAGTGCCCTCCCCCCTCGTTTTTTCGTTTATTGATTATTTCGGTGTATTTTATCGTTCAACAAAATACGATGGTAACTTGTGTGAAAATGAAAAGTGCCGCCCTAAAAAAAAAAAATAAAAAAAATCGGCTACGGTACTGTATAACATGTATAATGTAATAATCGAATACAATAACAATACAAATGTGATTTGACTGCCGACTACGTTTCGATATATATTGTTTCGGCTTTACTTAATGTTGTATGTTATTTGTATGTACACATGGAGATGTAAACGACCGGTACCGTTTGGCGCGCGAATGGCGAATCGTCGCGGATCGTGGCGTAATTTTAACCGTAAACTGTGCGGCCAACGGCGCGAACGTGCGCGCGTTCGTTTGACGGAGCGTGCGGCTTACTCGGACAGTTCGCCGACGTTCGGTGAATAAGTCGCGCAAGCGTACACGGCGAGCCAATCGTTGTCGGTATTTTGGTCGTGCTCGAATAGGAACGCCGCTGGCGTTCGTGCGGTCGCCCGGACGGTTAATTTCGATCTCTGTGCGTCAACATATTTTCTATCGGCGTTTGTTTATGATTTTGTGATTCGAAGTACGGCAAAATATTACGTACGGGCGCGATCGAGTTGGGACCCGGTTGAGCTTTTTGCCGCGCCTCAAATGGCGTAACGACAAATCACCAATTAAGAGCCGTTTACCGGAACCATTTTACTACCGTATTGAAAATGCTTATGTCAACCACGGACGTGAAAATCAAAATGCGGTATATAACAGTAACATCGCAATCGAGATGAAATATTACGATTTCCTTTTTATTAAGGTGCTCTATAATTAAATTTTCAAAAAAAAAAAAAATATATATATATTCCAATAAATGGTGATATTTCTTTTCTTTAGCGAACGAACAAGACCCTCGGTCTTGCGTTATACCGAACACCCCGTATAATTGTACAAGCTTCAGTGCGGCGACGTCCCTTACGCCGGCTCGACGAACGCGGAAACAGAGTCATAAAGCCGAGACCGACTACATAGATACCTGTTGATTACTCGCGTGTATACACGATTTTCATTTCACCCACGGCCGTGTCCGGCGAGTTGTGCGGCAGTATCGGCCCCGACGAAACATTTTAAGTAGGCTTTACAATTAATGAAAAACTGCCTCGTCCGATTTATTAAACGCGCTGTACGAACGGCTTGTCGGGGTGAGACGGGCGTAATTGCTCGGGAAAACGTTTATATATATGTATAGAAGGAACCTAACAAAGGAGACTGCGATCCCAAACGCGGCGGACGTGAGGTCTTTTGGCTTTTGTCAGACACCGTCGTCGTCTTCGTCGTTTTCTCGAACGGTGGAAAAAAAAAACACCGTCACGCCCGGCGAAAAGCAATAGATCTCGGCGACGGCGACGTTAATTAATTTCAATGTTCCCGACAACGACGACGGGTATTTTAGTGATTCGAGCTGACCGAATTTCGCAAAATTTCGGCAACATACCGGGTTCGATAAAACGGGCGGTCGGGAAACGGGCCACATTTTATCTAAGTGCTTCGTAAACAATATTTTTGCACATTTTATTCCTCGGAGATCGGGCCACAAATGTATAACACAAAAATATATAATTATAAATACATTGAAGTGCATAACATAAAATATAATACCTACAAAATTAGTCAAATAATTATAGATTTTTTTAAAAAAATAATGTGATACAAATTGCTTTGCACAGTATTCAAAAGTGTCGTTAATATAAATCGATTATAACGAACCTGTAGGAAATTAAAATTTGTGACCGTGGAAAAAACAATAATATGGTTTTAAATAGTGGTGTTAAATGGAAGTTTGCCTTTTGTCAAATCTTAAATGTATTAAAATATAGTAGCCCGATTCAATAAAAAAAAAATCGTCTAAAATAGTGGCTCTATCACCGGGTCTACCTGCTATAAATGTAAAATTTTAGTGGCCCGATTACCGTATATCATTTTGAAAAAAGATTCATTGTGTTCCGGATTCCCAGACGTCCGATAAAACAATATTGTTATTACGGCCGGCGGAATTCGAAGGAGAAATCGATGCCGGGCATACAGGTATAATAATGGATATTTAAATATTATTAAATAGTATTCGTTTATTTACGGTTTCGCGAAGAATTATTCGATTCGTATTAAATAGACGATCGGGTAGAGCTCGACTCTGGTGACGGAGCTCCGTTTTATTCTATACACGTCATATACAGTATACAGTATTTAATTTTTCCGTAGAAACGCGTTGTACACCCACGTTTGATTTGCATAAAATACGAATATTTTTCGAATCTGTCAGTAAGCTCTTGACAAATTCAAATGTTAAAAACTAAATGGTTTTTACGCGACACAAATGAAAACCTACGCTCGTTTGGCGATTTAATATTCGTTTCGTATTATATACGATTATATTGCAATTATAAATACACAAGTACATTGTACTATAATAACAATATCAGAAATTTAATTATAATACCTACCTACTCGCATTTGAATCTGAACTTTTATGGGTCAGCAAATAACCGATCACGTCATCCGACCGTTATGAAGTAAATAAGTATAGGCAATATTATAATACAAAACCGATTACTTGAATATCGACCGTTTTAAAAAGTGAGTAAACACCATACCCTGCACTTATAACATTAAACATTATCATTTAAAATACTATTTTTGTGACCGCGACTGTAGGGGCTCTCTTGATGTATATTATAATTGTATACATTGTATACTTAAGCCTGCCGCTCTAAAGAGCCAAAGACGTTTTTCTTTATGCTTTTCTTTTCGTTTTTACAACATCGGCGAACAAATTTTCGATGGATTTTCATTATTAGTCGGCATTATTATTATTATTTTGCTTTTTTTTTTTTTTTTTATCAAAGATGCATTCTGCGCGTTACTAAAAAAGATCGTCATCATATATTGTATGTTTTCATATACATTGACAAAACGGTTATACTTTGAATTTTTTTGAAAGTAGCTAGGTACGTTTTGTTTTTATTGCACATAGACTTATAAATACACCTATTTTATATTCAAGGGTAGTGCATGTACCAATACAGTAGTATACATGCACTATGGAATATTTTTATTAAAAAAAAAATAATAATAATAATCCGAAAATCGACAGCGTTAAAATGGTTGTATTTTTTTTCGTTTTTAACAAAAGAGTTCGTTTGAAAAAAAATTGTAATACAAAGTAGTTATAGCAACGTTACTTTTTGTTTGTGTTTTTTTTTTTTTAAATAACTATAACAACTGATTTTTATGACAATTGATAAACAACATTCGAAAACATTCCCTTCTTTAAATTGTTTTATTTGTGTCTTAACTCTAAATTCAACCTAAACGCCACCGTTTACGTTCTAAGTACTGTAATAACTTTATATTGTTGCCTGTTCGTTGGACTGAGACAGTAGATGCGAACGTGGCGTTCTCTATTAATATGTATTTTCTCGTTACCAACAATATACCTACCGAGTTATTTAATTTCTAACATATAATTTTATTATAGTTTACAAAAAAATAAATTCAAATTCGTGTCATATATTATAGTTCTATAAACTATATAGACAATCTAAATTTTACCGCAGGTTCACTTTTTAAGTTGTGTTTGAAAATTCCGTTTTCGATATTTTCGAATAAATACATGTAGTCGTATAGTTTGCTCGTTCGAAAATATGATTTATGGACAGCGTAAGAGGAGAACATGTATAAACCGAAATATGGTAGGTATGAAGAATATGAACACATTTAATACTAGTATTTGTGTACCTTTACCCTTGTAATCGTGTTACGGCGGTGGCTGCAGAGTCAACGAGTTTTGTACAGTTGCATGTTTTAACGTAATAATAATAATTTTGATTTATTAATATTTTAAGTATATTTTATTGAAGGCACCGGCTTATTGGACTACCGCGTAGGTATGCATACTGTTAGGGAGTGCTGTTAGGGCTGCTTACTAAAATTCAAGATTCTCTAGTATTGTAGGTGATCGTAATAAATATTCTTATATTATTGTTAACATTGAATTTCACCACTAGTAAAAACTTTATTTTATTAAATTCTAACCCTATACACAATTATAATAATTGTGCACAACATATTATTTTACGCTCTTTTAGATTCCGATTTAGAAACGTATTTTACTATGATATGTGCGGTTTACTTTGTTGTGTCTGTGAACAAATTATCTATTAATAGGTACTAGAAATCTAATAACAATCAAAAATGACGCTAACTTTTTTGTAGAATTTTGTATTTAGTTGGTGCGATGTGATAGATTTTCGATCGATTTTTGAAAAGTTGAGTAGTAGTTTTTTTATTAAGTACGCGTATTAAAATTAACATTTTAATGAAAATCGTAAATGTCACGTCATTTTATGTACTATTTTTCGATTTATGTGAATATAATTTTAGAGCAATTTAAAATGTTTGGAAATTTAATATGAATTTCATCACGAGTTGTATTTGATATTAAAACCCACTAAGCCTCTAACCTAAACTAACTGAACTTCCTAGGTCTCTGGTATATTTGTATCATTTCACGGTTACATAACTATAGCGACTACTGAAGACTAACTTCTACTACTAAGGCCACTACTACTACTCCTACTGCAACGGCAATTTGAAGCTTGTTGAAGCGTTTGAGTAAAATTATGCGTGACCAGTGTTCGTTTAGAGAGATGATACTAGGAGGTATAGAACGTAGGGAAGGAAAGGAAGAATCTCACGAGTTGCTCCCCTCGAAAATGTATAAATAAATATATTAAATACAGTGACGCGTTGACTCAGGGCGACTCCATGGCGTACATTTTGGGAACTGCTATATTAGTAATAAAATCGTGTTTAAAATAACATTTGGAATAGAAAACGTTCGAAACTGCAGTTGTGTATCGATAACAATACATTATAACGTATCAGTATAGGTACGGACGGATGTTTTACAAATCTATATTAATAATATTGTATACTGCGGATATTGTGTTTATTTATGGTTATTAAATCTCGCGTTCGCTCGAAAAAAAAAATAAAATAAAAAAAAATGTCAAATTGAAAATAAATACAATGGCTTATAAATAATGATAGTTGGATTATTGGGTTTCGAAAGGAGAAATAAAAGAAAAATGTTATGCTTGGAATAGCATATAGATACCTCTGTACGTGTTTTATTATTCGAATGTATAAAAACGATATACCAAATTCGAATTCTGCGTGTGCTTTTATCGGGACCAAATAACCAACAAAAAAAAAAAAAAAAAACATAAAACATTGGTACTTATATAGACGATAACCTCTAGGGGGGTTTTTTCCCTAAAACGTACAAGTTGAGTGATTCGTTGTAACTTTTAAATTTCAACGACTCTCAAAAAAATTGTAAAGAATCATCTAGTCGATAGTTTGATACCTAATATTTATGTGCTTTATAAGTCAGCAGTGTTGGGATTATTTATGTTTAGATTACAAACACTTACAATATCCGAACTCTAACCATAATATATTTCGTTACTGCTTCACTGTATACAATTTACCGGGAAATATTGTAATTTCAACGACAGTAAATTGTATTTTTCAGTACAAAGATGTTTATGGCAACAGGGCCGAAAATAGAGGCGGTTTCCCTCGTGCAAGACGAGATTGCAGAGGTTTAGAAAAACTAATTCGATCCGTCAGAGAATGTAGTTTAGTTACCACTATAGTGTATAGCGTGAGTGGTTGATTGCGGTCATTTACCCGTGGGTCCGCGTACGTTTGGTAAAAAACAACAAATCCAAAACGAATAAATTTGCCGTGGAGACGCTCTCTTCATTGGAGGCGAATAACGATAATAATATACTGTTGTCTATGATAGTGATGAGGCGCACGTTCGCCTAAACGGTTTCACGAATCAAAGGCGATCTACCGCGGCTATTGTGTGCCGCGAAACATCTCCGATGCGTACACCGCCGACCGCCGCACAGTCCCGAAGTGACTGATGTTCGGTTACAAAATAGTTATGCGTAAAAATGGCTACCAGCAAGACGGACGTTGTCATAATAGGTTTGTTCCAACACGGAATTTGGGACTAGTTGTGGACTGATCTGTGATTGATTTACTGTGCACACGCTAACGTAGACTGATTATAGGTTCGGAGTTTAGCGGGAAAGTGTTGGAACGCGTTTCGAACTAACTCTCGGATTGTCCATGATTGTAGAATAATATATAAAATATAAAACCTAACAATAATGAATCTTGTGTCTTGCAACAAAACATTTATCCTACGTATGTTTTGAAATTTTAAAATTTAATTGAAACGGTTACACATTTGAACGTAAATAATTGATGGCATAAACAAAGAACAATAAATAAACGATAACAGGATTTCTGACCACTAGTCCCCATCTGAATCAGCGGACTGTTTTGACTGTCAGAAATCAATCCCAAAACCCGAAAATATCCCGAGCCACGTCTATCCGTTTTCGCACTCATTCCCGTGACCCACTCTATTCATGGTAATAAACGCAACCTAATTTCAAATAATTATATACGAAAATACCGTCTTGGCGAAGCCGTATAACGCAGTTAGTCAATTATATATACGCGTTTAGAGTATATTATTATATATTATCGTAAAATCGATTACCGCTCCGTGTACCCGTCATTGTTTCTTCGCGATGTCCTGTATTTTTCTTCTCCCTGGTTTTTTCTTCTTCTTTTTTTACAAAAATAAAATCGATATCCGATAACGACCATCACAGCGCACCCGTCCGACGGCGACGACGGTGCCGTTCAATCACTGGACCCGGCGTTGGGATTAGCGCAAAAGTGTCGCTGTTTATATTATACGTGACGGCCCGTTGTTTACGATTTTCCGAGTCCACGGTGGCGGTGGCGACGATTCGTTCGACCGGCACGTACCAAAGTTCAAAAAAATGACTACAATTTTTTTTTTTTTTATTTCTTCTCCTCCATCTCCCTATTTGTCTTTCCGTCACCTTCTCTTTTTCTCTCTCTCTCTCTCTCTCTCTCTCTCTCTCTCTCTCCCTCTAACCCTCTCTCTAAATCGCTGCAACGTTCGTGTTCCTGCGAAGTTTTTTTCTGCAGCAAATTCAACGACGTGAATTTATATCCGTACGCGCTTATATCGTTGCAGGACTGCGGCTATACAACTGCAGTATGTTCTTACCCGGTGACGACGCTAAACAACAGTTAAGATATTATTGTAACCTAATCTAACCTAATCCGATACAACAACGCGTAAAGATCTCAAACCACTCGGAGTATTTACGAGCCTAAACCCGGACACAAATTCTTATCAAATACAACCGTTTAGTATGTGCCTTTGCCTACGTTGACACGAATTTATTTATTTTGTATTTATTTGGTTTTATTTTTTAATCTCGTCCGTTTCTATGCTGCACGTATATAGTGTTCTCGGGTAGATACGCAGAACGAGTGTTTTTGCGACCTTTACCGTCGTCTTCCCCGGTTTGATCTCTATAATATAATATAGTATATATTTGGTCGAATCGATTTTTTCCGCATATTAATAGAATAATAGATTATATGTATGAAGAAAAAAAAACCTACTGCAAAATTTACGGTAAACTCCGTATTTATTTTTTAATCGAATTTCTATTATTGTGATTCCGAAAATAATATAATATAAAATACCCTACAGAATAAATTGTTATTGACATATTTTTCATACAGCATACGTAAATAGGTTTTTTTTTTTTTTATCACGATCTAACGATTATATACGAAGATAGTTTGCGAATGTAATTTTTAGACAAAGCTAAAATAATTGAACATAATAATGTAATAATTTTACAAGAGTTTGATTGTAAGTTTTTTTTCGTGGTTAAGAAAAAATTGAGCATAATATAGTAGGCACCTAATTTCTTTTTTGTAAGTTTTTCAAGTTTATATTTTGACTAAAATCGTAAAAGTCATGGAATATTAAAACATATTTAATGGCATTTCGTTCAGAATATTGTTGGTAATGATTTATCGTTATTTTTAGAAACAAATTGATTGAATACCTACTTCTTAAATTCCCACCCACAACAATGGCAAATTCATCAGTAGTATATCAACTTTTCTTCTGTTTTCAATGAAAATATAAATACGAATAATCATAATTTTTATTTTTATTTCTAAATTTCTTTTGATTTTGTCCAAGAATCGTTTTTCGAAATACATTAAATAATCAATGGTTTTCGTTGTAAAAATTGTGAAAGAATGAACTGGGCCACACCCATGTTGTTCAAATGGCCACGGACCGATAAATGTACATACGAAGTATTTTCGATGTGAATTAATTTTGCGCAATAACTGTATATTACTGTCCTTATAGTAGACAGGGATTTAAACGTTTTAGAATCAAAAAGTGTTGTTCCAATATTTGTTAGTATTTGTTAAAAAAATTTAACCATAGAAAATCAAGTGAAATATGTATACACGATAATTATTTCGATATAATATTATTTGTTTAAAAACGTTTGGACAACATTCAGTTAGTATAGGTAACGAATTATTGTCCAATGGATTTTAGATCGTATTATTACAAATGTTTATTGTTTTTTATAAAAAAAAAATTATTTAATATTTTGGATTAAAAACTTGAACTGCGGGTATACATAGAATATAAGCAAATAGAACCAAAATTGCAAAAGGGTTGTATATATAATATTATTGTACAACTCAAATTTGTTATAGAGTTAAATGTATTATACTTGTAGTACAACAATGTTTGTTCAAACTTTTTAAACTGTTTACATTCACTACTCTGTACATGCGTATGTATCCAATAGTGACAATAAAATAATGTTAACTTTTTTGAAGCTCAATTTTTACACGACATTATGACTGTTATATTATTTCTTTCGGAAATTCGTTATTTATTTATCTCGGCTGCGCGTAAACTTTATTATTGTACACAATGTAAACTCAGCAATATAAAATCTATTATACGTATATAGGCTGATCGGTTTTTTTGTTTATGCCATATTATCATTATTATGTATAGTAGTAATAAGAACAAATCTTTTGCCGCGGATTCACAAAACCACTCGAGAGTGTTAATATCAAATTGTATTTACTCTACCAGATAATATTTAATTTGTTTTAGACGAATTTATAAAATTCATTTTTTTTTTTTTTTTTTGTTACATTTCAGTATAAAAATACACTTATATCCACGTGACCGCTACGGAGAGTGACGGAGATTTGAGGGTAAAATATACTGAACAGGGTCACGAGTCGGAGGAAACGAAACCGAGAAGAATAGCTTGCTAGAGATAGATTGGGATTAGAGGTGGATCTAGAACAAAACAACGGAGGAGTGGGCGTGGGAGAGGGAAACGATGTTTTGAAAATTCGTATAAGACACATATAATAGAGCGGTTCGAGACTTTTGATAGGATTTATTCAGTTCCGAGAGGTGGACCGGAGCGTATAGTGTGTGATATAAAACGATCTAAAAGCTCAATTCTAGCATCTAAAAGCCTATTAAATGTCTTGTAAAGTTGTATAAAAAAAAAACCATAAAAAAAAAAAAAACAAAACGAATATGCACTTAGGAATTACGATTACCGGCGATGACGCGAATTACGAAAAACGGGTGGATAACTCGGAGGCACTTTGGTAAATATAAAATCAGGAGCGAGCCTAGGATTTTATTTTGGGGGTGATTTTAATTTTTAATTTTAGAATTAAATTCACAATTATATCATTAAAATAAATAAGTATAACCTGAATAATAATAAGTCTACACACAAAAAACCATAATCTTTTACTGTTAAATACATAAAACATATTTCAATAGAGTTGATCTTATAAAGCTATAACTGTAAAGTGTAAATAATAAAATTAGCATGCATTGTAAATTAGTAAGTACAATCATTAACATTATTATAAATACCATTTTTATTAACTTACAGTGAAAAAAATATATAAATATATACTACTGATGTCGATTAATTATAATAAAAATAAAATATTTTTAGAAATCAATATGTTTTACATAATATTTTCCATGCATTATATCATATATATATATATATATATATATATCATACATATATAAAAAGTACAATAATAAAAATAACTTAACCAGAGTCATAAAAATTATAAAATGAAATCCATCCTGTTTGAAGATGAAGCAAATCTTGTAACTACCATATCTGGTATGTCTACTGGTATGTAATTATGGATTGATAAAAGAGCTAATCTTGTCAGCCGGTTTTCACCAGTAGTTAATCTTAAGTATGTTTTTATGCGATGTAAACTTGAAAAAGTTCGTTCTGTTGTCACAGTTGATACTGGAAGAGTAACTAAGATTTCAAGCATTTTTTTTTATATTTGGATAAAATGAATCATCACACTCAGAAAAGGCATGTAGAATATTTGATAGTCTTTCATTTTTATCTTTTTTAACCATTTTACTTTCCAAAGCAAAAACTCTTTTTTTTAATTCATTACAATTTGATAAAACACAACTATAAAATAGTAAGCATTTTTCAGATAGCCCATTAGTAGAAGTTAAAATGTGAAATATTGGTATCAAAGTTTCTGAAGAAGATAAAATGTTTGTTCTTGTCTTGTAATACCGGTCGTTTCATCAGCCATAACGGAAAAAAAAACTCGCACGGTTTAATTTATTTATTATTTGTTCAGTAATTACTTGACCACAAATTTCAATTAGCATATTTTAGGTTTTTTCGCTGGTATATTGAGTTTTTTCTACCCCCATTTCCAAATGATATTTAAAATTTTATCTCCGGCATTTGCTCTAAATTTTATTAGGGTGCGAAACTTTCCTTCAGATTTAATTTCCTCAGAAGAAATAATTTTACCTGAATAGAATTTTTCCCTTGTTGGTAGTTCTAAACGTTCAGGTAGAATAATTGTTTTTACTATAAAATATCGCTTAGAACGATTTTGAATTATTTGATGCGTATGTTCTGAATTTAACTGTAGGTTTTCCTTTTTCTTGTTTTTTTTTGAAATAACCAAAAGAAAATCATTTGTTTTTGTTTGCATAATTCATGATAATTTTTACTTTGATGAGAATTAAACTTTTGATTGGCATTGTTCTACCGATTAAAAGCCTTTGAAACCAAAAAACCCACATGTTCATGACTTGAGTGACCAACATGATTATTTAAAAATAAAACGCAATATAAACAAAATGCACCTCTTTCTTGAACATAAATTGTAAGCCATGCATATTGTTTAAGCCATTGAATTTAAAAACGTAAATTACGATGATCTTTAGATCAACGGGAAATTTGAATTCTTTTGAAAGACACCATTTAGAAAATAAAAATATTTCACGATTATTGTCAGTTGGAGTTTTATTCGAGTATAAACCCAAATCTCGATTATACGTAGTGCAAAAATTTGCTTTTCATCACAGCTAATGTTTAGAGAATATATAGTATTTAAAATGTCTGATATTTGCTGATATTTCAGTTTCAGCGTTACTATTAAATTCAGTCGAAATTTGATCAGTTGATTTTACAAAAATTTGCGATTGGAGTTATTCAGAGTTACTAATTGTTGGAACATTTAATTCTGTATTTAATCGGGATTTTCTCGCCTTAATTAATAAATCAAACATAGTACCTGTTCGTTTCATATTGCTCTAGAAATATGTACGAATACATTATTTTTTTAACGTATCTTTAGGCTACGGTAATGACATAGAGCTTTACGCAGTCGATGCGTACGAATATTTTCTTCTTTTTGGAACTGTAGAACATTTACATTGTTTACAATGTATACACTATTACACTAGTACTGGCGTAGTATGCGCTATTCACTAATAATTATAGCTAGGATAGCTAGTATAGTAGAATCACACTGATTTTTGTCAGTAACTGATAAACTGATAAATAAGTTTTAAAATGGAAAACGCATTATTATTGCGTCTAGATTAGGCCGATTTTCCGAATCCGTCCGAACGATACCGTCGTGTCACTCAATAACTTTGGAAAAAATATTGATAAACAAAAATATATTTCACCGTGACTGTGTAATATAATATAATATATTATGTATTATATTTTATAAAAACAAATTAAGAAAGTCAGTCTGGGGGTGGTTTGAATCCCTAAAAACACCCCCCCCCCTGGTACGCCCCTGTAATAAATTGGCTGTTGCGTTCTAAATCAGCGCGGAAAATAAGTTTGACTGATAATAGAATAGCCATTTATTACTATGCACCTATGTGGACGCTTAAACCCCATGTAACTCGTTTAGTCGCGACATTAATCATCGTCGCTGGAGGAATATTCAAAATCGTTTATTTCAAACATTTTCAATGAAAACCTTGCAAATAATTTATCCATTGCATTTTAAATGTCGATCGCG